AAAGATGATTTGGCACAGGGCTGAGGCTTTGAGGAGTAAGTAGAAAACTTCCAGGTCCGGTTGAGATAGCAAACCAAAGATATCAGAAAAGCCGAGGGCAAAGGAAAGTATAGAGAATAGGGCTAAGCGATTGAACCAAACTACAAAACTAAGAGATCTTCAGGAGTTCGAAGGTGGTTGAGGCCAAAAGTAGGAAAAACAAGCAGGAGAACAGGAAGCTAGAAGACAGGCTATGGATGCCAGTTCCAGCGCCTTCCTTCCCTCCCCACGTTGTCCTGTGGTTGCCCAACCGGGAGCTGCGACAGGCAAGCCAGGCCAGGGCACTGTCTTTACACACACAATCTTTGGTGGATACTAGTCAATTGGGTGCAGAACTGCAGTGGGAGAAGGCAGAACTTCTGAGGTCAATTTAGGCTAGAACTACATGGACTCTCGCCCTGCCCTTGAAGCTCTGCTGTCTGGATCCAAGGAGGCACTAAGAGAGCCCCAGAGCCCAGCTGGGGCAAGAAAGGGTACCAGTCAGTTCCTGAAGTCCAAGGATTTGGTCACCCCCTGGCACAGCCACACGTCCAGTACTGATGGAGGGAGGCCTCCTCTGCCATAGCAGTGTCCATGACAGATGGGGCGGGGAGATGCCCCTGCCACCAGGAGAAGCAGTCTGCCCACAGTAAAGAGTGCCTTGCAGAGAGGGGAAGAGATGACCAGACCTCTGTTTCTCCCCTTTGCCCCAGGTCTGCATCATAAGCAGGGGCAGCTGATATTACCAAGAGAATAAAAAGGATTGCATAGTCTAAAATCACAGGTACCCATGAAGCACAGGAAAGGTCTTCTACGTAAGTCACTGAATGGCTCTTTCTGTGCTCTTGGCCTATAAAGAGGGATAATAATATCTTTTCAGCCTACTACACAGTTGTCCAAAGAAGAAATAAAACACTGTAAAGTGTTACACAAATCAAAGGAGGAGGTGTTGTTCTTCAGAATATCAAACACAGAATCTTATTCCAGGACATGGATTCCTCCCTCCCCTGCATACTCCCTTCCCTGTGGGCCTGCCCTTGTCCCCTTCTTAGACTGGTTCCCAGGGATATTGTGGCTGAACAGGGTTGCATCTCACTCCCTGAGAAGGGAGAACTAAAAGTGGGCCTCAGAGGCAGTCTGAGCTAAAAAGTCTCCAAGCAAAAGTCATGCCTGAAGCAAGAGACACTTTCTTTTGGCTTAATCAATGTGAGCCAAAATTTCAGTCCTTGACTGAAGTGCTCTTGCTCTCTGCAATAAGCAAAGTGCTATTATTCAGTCACTAACCCCAGACAATTCCTTCTTCCAGATCATGTTGCTTATAAAGGCTCACTTCAAATGCTGAAGAGTTTAGCCACACTGTTGGGACAGCTGTGATGGATAAGTGACTGTGCACCTGTGTGTCCAGGCCCGAATTCTGGGTGACTAAACTGGCTTCTGTTAAGATAGTAATAGTAAGAGAGTCATACCAGTGCTTTTGCCGTTAGGAGATGCTGTGCACTTTTATATTTTACATATTATAGCAGATCTTACTAATTTGAAGTAAAAAGTTGTCAATATCCAGTTTGATGGATTCAGCAAATGAAATACTCCCCTTAACAAAGAATGGAACATCAGTGCTCATTTATATTATAGAGTTGACATAAGCCAAACTTCTTTGAATGAATGGGATGGTATTCATATGCAATAATTAGGTCTTCTCAGTGCATGTATTAAGCTGAGGAAGTGTTTACAGTGGTTATCATAGGTTCTTGAGGATTTCTAGGTGAGGGATTCTTTTGAGAATCTGATAACTATAATTCTGTGTTTCTCCTCAGAAACACACACACACACACAAAATTATGTATATGATTTCAGGGAAAACCTTTTGGTGGATCCTCTTTCAGCTTAGTCTGTTTAATAAGGTCTAGAACATTCTGACTTGATGCCCTTATATCACCATTTCCTTCTTCCTCCTCAACCACCACTCCCACCAGCACCCCAGAGCTAACGCAAATGCAAGGTCCTCAATTGTCAATATCCCAGGTTCATTTTGTAAGAAGGTATCTGCTCTTGGGACTTTGTTAATGCAAGAATACAGAAATGTATGTGTACTTCAGCTTGCAGCTTATATATAGGTGGTTAGAATACACGGACACATCATAAATTTTTATCATTGAGGGGACTGAGAGTCTTAGGCAGTAGGCCCTTTAACTCCAAATAGAAACCAATGTTTCAGAATTTGACCTCCTAAACACTATTAACTGTATTCCAAGTGGAATTCATTTCCTTCTGTATTGTTGACCATTTTCATTTTTAGAAGTTATACTAGATATAAGTTATTGTAATAATACATTTGCATTTTTTTCTTAATTTCTACATAGAAGTAGTTTACCTTGAATAAATGGAGAGATCCTCTTCTGAGAGACCATCTGAGAGATTAATTCCATATACCTCTTTCATGGGCTGGACCACATTCTGGAGTTAAAAACAAAAAGGAACCAGGAAGAATTTTTAGACATCTAGCATATTAATTATTTCCAAAGATGAAGAAAATGAACCTGGGAAATTTTCCACAAAAGCAATCACAATATTTCTTCAATATATTCATTAAACTTCTCAGTTAATGGTTTTTTAAAAATCTGATTTTGTTTCCACTAAAAATACTTTGTTTTAAGGTAAAAAGCTATTAAATAATTACTAGTTCCTTTTGTATAATGCAGGAATTAGAAATCTTTTTCTGCAAAGGGCCAGATAGTAAATATTTTAGATTCCTTGGGTCATATCATCTCTGCTGCAACTACTCAACTCTGCTGTTATAGTGCAAAAGCACCCATACACAATATGTAAACAAGTAGGCATGACTGAGATCCAATAAAACTTTATTTATAAAAAGAGGCAGTGGACTGGATTTTGACAATTGGCTGTCGTTTGCCAACTCCTGGAATTATGGATTCAGTTCTTATATTATCACATTTTACTAGCCATATCTACTTCTATGACTTTTGGCTATTTCTGGGAATTAAATTTACCTAAAGCTCGATTTGGTTCTTATGTAGTTTATTTCCTTTTATGTTCCCTTATATTGGTAATGTCAAATTGAACAGGGTGAATTTCCCACTGGGGCTATGCAAAGATTGTGAGGCCCAGGTCCAAACCCTACATTCCAACAACGTGCTAAGCAAGGAAATAAATGGACCTCAAGTGGATGTGCTGCTCAAAAGTGGACAAGTTAAAAATTCTGAAGTGATAAGAAATTTATTATTATACATGGGAACAAAAACATCAATTTTTTTTTTATTTTTTTAATTAACATATAATGTATTATTTGTTTCAGGGGTACAGGTCTGTGATTCATCAGTCTTAACACAACTCACAGTGCTCACCATAGCACATACCCTCCCCAATGTCCATCACCCAGCCACCCCAGCCCTCCCACCCCCCTCCATTCCAGCAACCCTCAGTTTGTTTCCTGAGATTAAGAGTCTCTTATGGTTTGTCTCCCGCTCTGGTTTCATCCTGAAAAACACTGATTTTATTTCAAAATGAAACCATTTCAATAATGTCTATGCTAAATGTATTCATCTCTTAATGACCTAAATGTGAGACCTGAGAGCATAAAACTCCTAAAAGAAAACATAGACAATAATCTCTTGGACATTAGTCTTAGCAATATATTTAAGGATAGGTCCCCTCAGGCAAGAGAAACAAAAGCAAAAATAAACTATTGGGACTAACTATACCAAAATAAAAAGCTTTTGAACAGCAAAGGAAACCATCAACAAAATCAAAAGGCAATCTATTAAATGGGAGAAGATATTTGCAAATGATATATCCAATAAGGAATTAATATCCAAAATATATAAAGAACATCTACAACTCAACACCTAAAAAAACAAATGATCTGATTAAAAAGATGGGCAGAGGACCTGAATAGACATTCTTTCAAAGAAGACATCTGGATGGCCAAGAGACACATGAAAAGATGCTCAACATCACTCATCATCAGGGAAATGCATATAAAAACCATGATGAGATATCACTTCACACCAGTCAGAATGGCTAGTATCAAGAAGACAAGAAATAAAGAGCAAGTGTTGGCAAGGATGTGGAGAAAAGGGAACCATCATGCCCTGTTAGTGGGAATGTAAACTGGTGCAACCACTGTGGAAAACAGAATGGAGTTCCTCAAAAAATTAAAAACAGAAATGCCATATGATACAGTAATTCTACTACTGAATATTTACACAAAAACAATTCAAATTCAAAAGATAATAGAGGCACCCCTATGTTTATTGCAGCATTATTTATAATAGCCAAGATATGGAAGCAACCTAAGTGTCCATAAATAGATAAATGGATATGCAAGATGTGGTATTTATATACATATATAAATGCAATGGAATATTATTCAGCCATAAAAAAGAATGAGATTCTTGACATTTTTGACAACATGGATAGACCTCAAGGGTATTATGCTAAGTGAAATAAGTCAGACAGAGAAAGACAAATACCATATGATTTCAGTTATACGTGGAATCTCAAAAACAAACAGACAAACAGAAACAGACTCATAAATACAGAGAACAAACTGGTGGATGCCAGAGGGGAGGAAGTATGGGCATGGGAAAAATAGGTGAAGGAAATTAAGAAGTACAAACTTCCAGTTATAAAATAAAAAAATCACAGAGATGAAAAGTACAGCACAGGGAATCTAGTCAATAATGTTGTAATAACATTGTATGGTCATAGGTGACTACACTTACGGTGAGCACTGAATAATGTATAGAATTGTGGGATCACTATGTTGTACACCTGAAACTAATATAATATTGTATGTCAACTATACTTCGGTTAAAAAAAAAAAAAGTATTCATCTCTGCAGTGCCTCAAACACCACACATTAGAATGGTGTGCATGAGATAATGTGACCTTTTCTCTCAGCCTTTTAACAGAAAGTAGGATTTTAGAGATCATTCTCCAAAGCCTCATGCCAGACACAAGCTCCGCTCCCACCTCGGTCACTTTGGCACTGTCCCCTGTGTCCGTCATCTTCACTGGGGTGGAGCGCTGAGACACAGAGCCCTCCTCTTCCCGGTCGGTCCCAGAGTCATCCTCAGAGCTGCTGGACACAGCTTCCTCGCTGGGGGGTGGCGGGGCACTGGCTGCCGTTTTACGCTGTAAGACAGCTTCTTCTCTATTGCTTTTGTTCCTTTAAAAAGATGAATATTGATATAAAGTATCTTTAAACTAAACCCTTGACACTCACTATGTATGACTCTGTCCAAAACCTTAGTGCTAGTGAAGCACAAGAAAATGGCTGTGAGAAACTAGTTCCTGGGTTCAAGTTGTGATTAAGGGAAAACCTTAACGTTTTACCATGTACATGTACTGACCTTATATGAATTTAAGCCCTGTTATAAATTCAGAAAATAGGGGCACCTGGGTGACTCAGTTGTTAAGCGTCTGCCTTTGGCTCAGGTCATGATCCCAGGGTCCTGGGATCGAGCCCCACGTCGGGCTCCCTGCCCAGCGGGAAGCCTGCTGCTCCCTCTCCCATTCCCCCTACTTGTGTTCCCTCTCTCACTGTGTCTCTCTTTGTCAAATAAATAAATAAAATCTTTATAAATAAATAAAAAATTCAGAAAATAAACCAGTAAGTGCGTGTAAACCAATGCAGAAAAGTCTTCTCACCACTTGGTTACTGTGTCCTCCTTTGGTAAGTGAAATCATTATTTTCAAAATTTATGGTACAATAATAGCAAACTATGTGCTTGGGACATTAGTAAAATTATCTTGCTACAACTTGTAAAACATTCAAGAAAAGGTCAATAGCCAAATCCATGTAAATTTCCTTCCCTTCTATGATTTTTATCAATCACAGCATCAGCTGATGATTTGTACCATAGTAATGAGCAACTGATGAACATAAACTAAATTTTAAAATTTGTGTTATTAGTAAATAACTATATCTGCTAAACATTCCTACTAATAGTAGGGAATAGATGGGGAAAAAAACCCCCCCAAAACTCAGACTTATAAAAGTATTTACTTTTAGTTCCAAGTATGAGAGTAGTAAGAATGCTGTTTTCTTTTAAACTCAGAAAATAGGGACGCTTGGGTAGCTCAGTCGGTTAAGCGTCTGCCTTTCGCTCAGGTCATGATCCCAGGGTCCTGGGATTGAGTCCCACATCGGGCTCCTTGCTCAGCCGGGAGCCTGCTTCTCCCTCTGCCTGCCGCTCCCCCTGCTTGTGCTCTCTCCCTCTCTCTGACAAATTAATAAATTAAAAAATCTTAAAAAAATAAACTCAAAATATTTTATAGTAAAATTTTTGGCTTTTATGAAAAATGTTTAATATTTCACTCTTTAAAAACTACTCTCTATAAAAGACTTAAAATGCCATAATATTCTGAAATGTTCTAGGAAAGGAAAATGAAGTACTATCTGACTATGGGTTAGATATTATAGAAAATAAGCTAGTTTCTGACTTTCTGCAAAGTAAAAATTAAAGTCAGTGGCATTTCTGTGCCATACAATAATGTAGCTGGTTATTTATGTATTTATTCCAGGAACTCCTTGAATTCTGAATTCCTGAGGACATCTCTTAAATTCCATAGTTTCCAGTCCAAGGCCTAACATGTAGCTATTTAAAGCCACAGAAATGGTATATCTGGAAATGGTAATGTACATCCCATTGCATAAACCACCTGTAGCTGGAGTCCAACCAGGATCCCATACACACTCACAAATACAATTAGGACTCAGTATCTACAGTCTAGCCAGGGATTCTGGCCAGAGTCTAAAAAAAAAATCTCATCACTGGGATTATTCAGGTCAGTGGCAGTAACAGATTCTCATACCAGAACATATCACATCTCACTCCGGTTTCTAAGCATGAAGATGGAGACATGATTTGACTTCTTCCTCACATTATTGGGTGTAACAGTCTTCCCCAAAACAATGTTACAGTAATATACAGAAAATCTATTAATCTCTCTACCTGAGCATATTTATTTTAATGGTTTCTCAGGATGCCAACAAAAATAAATAAAATGACTATAAATTTTTACCTAAGTATTTTATGTTGTGGGAAACTGAGAACGCTGAGTTATTTATAGGACATAACACATAATATCTGCTACCTGTCCCTATGTCATCTGTGATATTTCTAATTTAAAATAATAAAATGTACCATGTTGCTGAAATTCCTATAAATTCTTTCAATGTTGAATTCTTTAGTGATCCCAGAGCTATGAATAAACCACCTGCATAGATGCAATAAATGGAATGTGCTCCAAACTATGTGACTTGAAGTTATTCTTTTTGGTGAAAATTATATTGCAAGTGCCATATTATTTTACATGAATCTTTAAAATTTCATTCTATATGCAAATCTTACCCCAATACTGATTTTCCGGTTTCATCTGGTTTACGCACTGTAAATGGACTTGGATCAATGCCAACGGTCTTGGGCATAAAGTCACTGAAGAAACAGGAAAGAAATTCCATATGAATCACTGTCCATCTCCAGGATACTTCTGTTCAATTCACATTCTCATACTATTCCTTCTTAGCCCTCAGAGCTACATATATTCTGAGCCAAATGTTCAGGGGAGCTTAGGTGATCCAGGCCATAAATCCCCATGAACTAATGGCACCAGGTAACTTCAAGCTCTCAGTCTTCACTATGAATTTTCTTCATGATTATGAGACCCAGTGGTTTTGAATTTAAGATTTTCTCTACTGGAACAGAGTTATATCTAAATTGTTGCCACAATGTATACACTTTGTTTATACATCAGAATTACTTTCCAGGTAAAACTAAATTCATAAAACCAAAGGCAAAGCATAATGTTTTTATTACACTATACTACTCAGGGAGGCTGACACAATAATCAAAAACACAGGAGTGTTGGAACTGAAGTATCAGCATCTACCTCATTAGGTTGGGGTTAATTCATTAAAATACTGGAACACTTTAAATAGAAACTTTGAGTTTGCCACATACGAAGATAAGCTGAAGCTCCTTCGGCACTGTGCCAAGCCTACCTCCTGATTATTGCTATAACCAGACCAAACTCCTCATAGATGCCAGAAATACCAGAGTTGCATGGTTTATGCTGATGAGAATTATGGCTTTGGCAAGGATACCGCTCCAAGTGTGACCCATTACATTTTTTGAAGGAAAAGAAAGTAAAATAGAATCTGATCCAGAATGCCTCTTTGACAGAAAATGTTGTTTTAAAAATGTAAGTGGTTTAATTTTTCTTTCTTTTTGAACATAGATAGTCGATCCTCATTATTTGTGGACTCCTTATTTGAGAATTTGTTTGCTCACTAAAATTTACTTGTAACCCCAAAACCAACAGTCAGAGCTTTCAGGATCACTTGCAAACATGTGTAGAACAGTGAAAAATTAGAGTAACCCAAAGCTCATGTTCTCAGCTGATGGAGAACAAGGCGACACTCTGCCCTCTAGTTTCACCTCTCATGCTATAAGCAAGTGTCCTTTCCATGGTCTATTTACTGCCATGTTTTTCACCTTTTTGTGCTTTTTGTTGGTAACCTCGTTGTCTCAAATGACCCCAAGCATAGTGCTGAAGCTCTCTAGCATTTCTAGGCACAAGAGAGAGCTGCGTGTTAGAAAGAAAACACGTGTTTTGGGGTGCCTGTGTGGCTCAGTCGGTTAAGTGTCTGCCTTCAGCTCAGGTCACGATCGCAGGGTCCTGGGATCAAGCCCCACATTGGGCTCCCTGCTCAGTGGGTAGCCTGCTTCTCCCTCTCCCTCTGCTACTCCCCCTGCTTGTGTGTGCTCACTCTCTCTCTCTCCTTCTGTCAAATGAATAAATAAAACCTTAAAAAAAAAAAAAAGGAAATATGTGTGTTGGAGAAGCTTTGATCTCGTATGAGTTATAGTATTGTTTGCTGTCAGTTCAGTGTTAATAAAAAGTGTTGTCTGCTATGAGTTCAATGTTAATAAATCAACAATATATATTTAATAAGGCATCTTTAAACAGAAACAACATAACATGGTTATGTTTTGTTTTTTTTAAGATTTTATTTATGTATTTGACAGAGACACAGCGAGAGAGGGAACACAAGCAGGGGGAGTGGGAGAGGGAGAAGCAGGCTTCCTGACGAGCAGGGATCCCGATGTGGGGCTCGATCCCAGAACCCTGGGATCATGACCTGAGCCTAAGGCAGATGCCCAATGACTGAGCCACCCAGGCGCCCCCATGGTTATGTTTTGACTGGCTGATAAAAATGTTGTGACCCAAGGCTTGCCAAACCTAACCCTGTATTTCCCCAAAGAGCAATGGTTCAGTACTCTCTAATCCAGTTGTTTCAGGAACTTTACAGAACATAACCCCTGCAAATAAAAAATCAACTGTATATACACATATGCATAAAATCATTCATCCTTTGCTGAGTTGAAATATTCTGGAAATGACAATAACCTTACGGTTAACACTTCTAAACTTTGAATAAGTTTAATTGAAAGTCAACCAAGTAAAAATTCTAAACTTTCCATCTGAAACTAAAGCAAAATATAGAATGGCTTCTCGGAAACAAAACCATAGGATATGTTTCTACATGTACATTAAGTTTAGCATACCTATATCACATTGAAAGAAATGTAAAATACAAAAATGCAAACTTTAATATAAAATACAATAATCAAGAAGTGATTTGCTTTGTCTAATTTTCTTACTCTAGTCCCATCACTTTTCCAAAAGATGCCACCAAATTCTGAAAAAATGTAATACATTCAAAAGTGACAGACCAAGATGAAGAGTCTGGAAACAATGACACAAGAATTGTGAAAAGAAAGAATGAAGGATATTTACCTGAAAAAAATTAACACTGCTTCCTCAAATATCTGGAGGGCTATCGTACAGAAAAAGAACCACACCTGTCCTATTCCTAATAAAAATAATAATATAATGATAGCCACCATTTATTAGTCACCCACCTGCATCAAGCACCCCATTAAGGCACTTGGCATGTATGTGTATATATGTGTATAATGCACACGCCCCTATCTACATAAAAGAAGAAACTGAGACTAGATAATTTTCTAGGTAGATAAATTAGATAATTTTCTCAGGGTCACACAGGTAGGCAGTGGCTGATCTATGATTCACATCCCTACCTTTCTAGTACCAAAGACTATGCTTTTTTCCAACTAATTTATGCTGGTTCTCGATTTCTATGTTCAATTTTAAAAAGTGAGTTTACTCCAAATGACAAACTAGGACCAATGAGAGGCAGGTTTCAACTTACCAAAGGAAAGAAATTAACTCCAGTTGTCTAACACTAGAACTGACTGCCTCCTGAAGCAGTGGGCTCCCCATCACAGGTGGTATTCAGAGGCTGTACAATCCCCGCTAGCAGGCTTGCGGAATGGACTTGCGGCAAAGCAAGACATACCTATACAGACTAGGAAAACTAAAGTTCCCAAATCCTTACAACAGTCTCAGGGCACTCACAACGTACCGTGCTGAGCTTGTCATAGCCAAGCAAAAGGTATCATCAAAACTACTCAGTTCGTATGGTCGAAAGAACTCGTTGTGGATGTCAATCTCTTCTTCATATTTGTGGAATTTCTTCACTATCAACTTCTTTAAGTTCGCAGCACAGATAACTAAGAGAGATAGGCCTGTTACTCGTCAAGTCTTTAGATGACATCTGGCAAACAAGGTTTAGCTCCTGCCTCTAGCACTCATATACTTGGGAAAGAGATGAGATATGTGCACAGAATACACAGTGCAAAACCAAGTGTGACAAGCTCCAAGGAGGCAGGAGGGCCCCCAAAAGTCTGGGTGGGAGGAGGGAGCTGTTTTAGAAATCAAACTACTCAGCTCTGGGTGCCTGGGTGGCTCAGTTGTTAAGTGTCTGCCTTGGGCTCAGGTCATGATCCTGAAGTCCCTGGATCAAGTCCCACATCGGGCTCCCAGCTCAGCGGGGAGTCTGCTTCTCCCTCTGACCCTCACCCCACTTGTACTCTCTCTCTCTCTTTCTCTCTCTCAAATAAATAAATAAAACATCTTTAAAAAAAAAACTACTCAGCTCTTTAAATTCCTTTTTGTTCTTAAATCATGCAGCTATTTCACTAAATTTTCCTTTATATTTCAAATCCTATTTATGGCCAACATTAGACTGTTAAAAGTCCTTTCCTTTCTCTTAGAACAACAAACCTTTGCAATATGAGTTATGATTTTTCCCAGAATTTCAAGGTTACAAATACTCTTTAAAAATTAATTAATAATTTATTAAGAACTAAAAATCATTTGTAATCTTAGTTTATGGCCTTTACCACCCAAAGTTGGAATACCTAACCATGACTAGATGGGAGTCCTTATGTGGAATGTTCCAGATTGGGAGTCGATCTTACTTAGTGCTCTTTCACAACTGGGAAAACTGGCTTGTTCAAGGTCAGGGGAATCAGTAACAGCACTACACTCTATTTAAAACCGAGCAATTATTTCAGTTGGAAACATCATTCGAATGTATTGTACATTTGAGTTCATTCATTTAACATAAAAATTTTCCTGCCTTTCAGACAAATTAATGAAATGAAATTTAAACTTTAGTGACTAAAATGTACTTTTATATACACATCTGTATCTTTTTCCACTGCTTAGATACAGGAAAAGTTTTTATTTCTCCTTGTGAGTGGGTCTTCACTTCCTTCCCATTACCCCCAAATATCTAGAAATATAATCAGTACTAATTTAAAATGGTAAACTAATGTATTATATCCATTAGACATTTCAGGGACATACCTAATAACTATAAAACACAGTACAAGGTACTGGCCTACTTGGATAAAAGAGGTATAACACAATCGCTGCCCTTAAAAAGCTGTCTAAGATGTTACAAACCCCTATTATAGCAGCAACATAAAACTGAGTAGTCATTCCTTTTTAATGAAATATTATATGCAAATAATTTAATGCTTCAAGCTCATTTAGGAATAATTCCAAAATATGTTGGTATAAAAACTAAAAGAGAAACAGTGTACCTACCTTCATCATACGGCAGTGGTAAATGTTTTATTACCTCTGGTGTCCACCAGTAAGTATAGCTATAAAATTAAAAAAATAAATAAAAGGATAAGATGGACCAAATTTAAATGCTGGCTTTCTATAATTCACTGTGTTGAAGGGGTTTACAGTCTATTGTAAGATGCTGCCTCATACTTCAAAGTTAACTTTTTTATTTTTTTAATTTTATTTTTTATTATGCTATGTTAATCACTATACATTACATCATTAGTTTTTGATGTAATGTTCCATGATTCATTGTTTGCATCTAACACCCAGTGCTCCATTCAATACGTGCCCTCTTTAATACCCATCACCAGGCTAACCCATCCCCC